GGGCACAATAACTTATAAAGGAATATACAGAACTAGCAATGCACCCCAGTCCTTCACAGCCCAACTTGTGACCCAGGGGCAATCCCTCCAGGACTCACCTCCCTCTGTTTATACCCTCTTGCTCCTCCCCCAGAGAAGCAATGTGACTGGTGCCTCCCCAGCTTTCATCAAAATCTACCAGTCCCCTCCACTTAAACCTCAAATCCTTGAGATTATCTGAAATTGTCTCTGTAGAGAATGTAAGAGTGGGACAATCTGGTTTAATTCTTATAGAAATCACTGCAACCCTGGACAGGGTGAATTATCTAACTCAATACTGTAAGGTACATAGAATTGGGGCTAGTGATTAATGATACACTTATGCTTAAGTGCCGACAGTACTTGGGTGAGCATTTGAGATCTTCACACAAGGAGTACCATTACTGCAGTGCAAGTCCTTCAGCATATATACTCTCCCTGTCTCAATATGTATGTTTTCCTTGTTTTAGTTTTTATATCAGTTGAGATTTGTTCTATTGTATTGACTGCCTATAACTAGGAGCACTGGGTCTCAGAAAATAGTGATTTTTACATTTCTTCTTTTTTTTCTATGAATAGAAAATGTAATTTTATTTTATAACAGTTTAATTTCTTTTTTATTTATACACAGATAAATTTATTTATTTTATTTTTCTATTTACATTGTTTTAATTTATATTAAATAAAGGTTCATGTATTTCATATACACAGATTTAGGAATATAGTGATACTTCCCACCCTACCTTCCCTCCAGCCCATACTCCCACCCTCCTTCCCTTTCTTACTCTTTCTTTAATTTTCACATTTCTGATATTCATGGTAAGATGAGATTTGATGTTAGAGATTTGAAACAAATGATGTATGGAAAGAGAATGTGGAAATAGACACTGGTTGCTTTACCTTTTTAAAAAATTATTTAAGCATTTTGATCACTTTTTATATTTGCACACAGAAAATTTACTTTTGGGGGGTATACAGTTTCTGTGTAATACTTTGTAATTTATAAATACTGTGTAATTTCTGTGTAATACTTTGTGTTTTAACACATATGAGATGGACTTAACCACCACCCCGAAGTGGCTACAGAACAGTGCTATTACCTGAAAAATTTCCTTTCTGCTGCCCACTGATTATCAAACACACTCTTATTGCAAACCCTAGCAGCCACTGGTCTCTCTATCCCAATAGATTTTCCTTCTGCAGAATGTCACAAAAAGGAAACCATACAAGGTGTAACTTTTGGAGAACACTGGCTTCTTTCACTTAGTAACATGCATTTGAGATTTATCTGTTTTGCACCCATTAGTAGCTGTGGTACAGACGCACTGCAGTTTGTTTATTCATTTATTCTTGAGAAGCATATGAACTGTTTCCAGTTTAGGGTGATAATAAATAGTGATGCTATACACATTCATGCACAGGTTTTTGCATGAAGTATGGTTTCATTTCTCTAGGGTAATACCCAGGAGATAGTAAGAGGCCAATTTTCTAAGTATAGGTTTCACTTTCTATGAAATTGTCCCGTTGTCCAGAATGACTGTACAATTTTCTGTTTCTACCAACTCTATATGACAGCTCCAGTTGCTCTGCATTCTTGCTAGCGTATGGGACTGTCATGAGTGCATATTTTAGCCATCCTCTAGGCATATTGTGCTAAATCTCTTTTAATCTACATTTGTCTACTGAGTAACGTTGAGCGTACTTTCCATATGCTTGCAAGAATTTGCCATAGGTTTACCATGTTGGTAAGGAATCTGTCCAGATCTTTCATCTGTTGTTTTATTTGGATTATTTCTCTTCTTATTTTTAGGTTGTGAAAATTCCTTACAAATCCTGGTGACAAAACCTCCATTTCTTCCTCTTCTCAATTTTTGGAAGAGATTGTACAGAGTTAATGTTATTCTTTCTTATTTGTGTGATGGAGTTCATTACGAGCTTTTCAACTATGAGTTTAGTGTCTTTAATAAATATAGGACTATTCAGAGTATCTGCTGCTTCTTGAGTGATTTTTGTTAATTTCTGCCTTTCAAGATTTAGTCCACTTCATCTAAGTAGTCTCATGTATGTACAGAGTTGTTTGTGGTATTCTCTTATTGTCTTTTGTACCTGTGGAGTTTGTGGGGGTATCTCATCTGTCAAACCTTACATATTGGTAACACTTATCTCTCTCTCTCTCTCTAAATTTGAGTTTTTCAATTTTAGTGACCTTTTACAAAAACCAGTCCTGGTTTCATTGTCTTTTTTTCTCTGTTTTCTCTTTTTTAAGTTCCATTAATTTCTATTTTTTCATTATCATTTTATTCCTTTTGTTGCTTTGTGGTTTTTTTTCTAGTTTCTTAAGATGAAAGTTGGGGCCAGTGCTGTAGCGCAGTGTGTTAAAGTGGGTTTGAGTCCTGGCTGCTCCACTGCTGATCCAGCTCTCTGCTATGACCTAGGAAAGCAGTAGAAGATGGCCAAGTGTTTGGGCCCCTGTACCAGCGTGGGAGACCCAGCAGAAGCTCCTGGCTTCGGATCAGTGCAGCTACAGCCATTGTGGCCATTTGGGGAATGAACAGAAGATAGAAGACCTCTCTCTCTGCCTCTGCCTCTCTGTAACTCTGCCTTTCAAATCAATAAATAAGTCTTTAAAAAAAAATAAGATGAAAGCTTGGACTATTGATTTGAGATATTTATTCTTTTCTTTTTTTAAAGATTTATTTTTTAGATAAATCTTTATTTTTATTTTTATTTTTTGACAGGCAGAGTTAGACAGTGAGAGAGAGAGAGAGAGACAGAGAGAAAGGTCTTCTTTTTTCCATTGGTTCACCCCCCAAATGGCTGCTACGGCAGGCGTGCTGCGCCGATCCAAAGCCAGAAGCCAGGTGCTTCCTCCTCGTCTCCCATGCAGGTGCAGGGCCCAAGCACTTGGGCCATCCTCCACTGCCTTCCTGGGCCACAGCAGAGAGCTGGCCTGGAAGAGGAGCAACTGGGACAGAATCCGGAGCCCCAACCGGGACTAGAACCCCGGGTGCTGGCGCCATAGGCAGAGGATTAGCCAAGTAAGCCGCTGTGCCGGCCTAAAGATTTATTTTTACTTATTTGAAAGACAGAGTTACAGAGAGAGAGGGGAAGAGACAGAAGTGGGTGGGGGAGAGAGAGAGAGAGAGAGAGATCGATCTTCCATCAACTGGTTCATTCTCAAATTGGCCGCAACAGCTGGGGCTGGACCAGGCCGAAGCCAGGAGCCTGGAACTCCATCTGGGTGGCAGAGGCTCGAACACTCTAGCATTCCTCTGCTGCTTTCCTAGGCACGTTAGCAGAAAGTAAGCAACCAGGACTCATATGGCATGCTTGTGTCACGGGCAGCAGCTTAACCTATTGTGCCACAACGCCAGCCCTTTATATTTTTGTTTTGTTGTAAGATTAGTTTTATTTATTTGAAAGTCGGAGTTAGAGAGTTTTCTTTTCTAAAGTAAGTGCTTCATGTATAAACTTACCTGCAGGCCCTGCTTTAACTGCATCACGTACATTTTGATCGGCTTGTGTTTAATTACATTCAGTTCAAAATTTTTCCACTGTCCCTGAGACTTCCTTGTTGATCAGTCAGTGTCTTACAGGGTATTGTGTAAGTCCCACATATTTAGTTTTCTGGATATCTTTGGTTATTGAGCTAATTGATTCCATCATGTCAGGGAATCATACTTTGTATGATTTTGTTCTTTTAAATTTAATAAGATTTGTTCTGTGACCTAGAATATGGTCTGTTTTGGTGAAGACTCCATATACACTTAAAAATATTGGATATTACATTGTTGTCTGGATGGGATATTCCATAAATTTTAATTAAATCAAGTTGGAAGAGTATTGTTACATTTTCTTCTCATTGTTTTGTTGCCTACTTGAGCTCTCAATTACTGAGAGAATGAAGTCTCTATCTATAATTGTCTATTTTTCTTTCTCCTTTTGGTCCCTTCAACTTTTGTTTCATTTACTGGGGCTGTGTTATTAGTTATATGTGCATTAAAGTCTGCTATATCTTCTCAGGGTATTGACTCTTATTATATAATACCCTTCTTTATCCCTGCTCCTTTTCTTGTCCTGAAGTCTGTTTTGTCCTATGTTAACAAACACTGTCGTTCTTTTCACTTGTGACTACATGGCAGGGCTAGCCCTCCCACCTTTTAACTTTTGATTTTTTGACATTACTGTGCTTGAAGTGAGTTCTGTAACAGCGTATTATTGGGTCTTGAGTCTTATTTTTTTTTTTAAAGATTTTATTTATTTATTTGAGAGGTAGAGTTACAGCGAGAGGGAGAGACAGAGAGAAAGGTCTTCCTTTCATTGGTTCACTCCCCAAGTGGCCACAATGGCCGGAGCTGTGCTGATCTGAAGCCAGGAGCCAGGTGTTTCTTCCTGGTCTCTCATGCAGGTGCAGGGGTCCAAACACTTGGGCCATCTTCTACTGCTTTCCCAGGTCATAGCAGGGAGCTGGATTGGAAGAGGAGCAGCAGGGACTAGAACCGGCGGCCATATGGGATGCCTGCACCACAGGCGGAGGATTAACCCACTGCACCATGGTGCCAGCCCCGGGTTTTGAGTCTTTTTTTTTTAAATCTCATCTTTTAATTGATGTGTTTAAATCGCTTAAATTTTCACAATTATTGAAAAGGTTAAATTTAGGCTTAGCATTTTATTGTTAGTTTTCTATTTGTTCTCTTTTTCCTCCATTTTCTACCTTTTGGATTATTTGAATAAGTTGTTTAAACTTATCTACTGGCTAATTTTCTTTTTACTGTAGCTTTTTGTATAACTTATTAGTTATTTCTTTAAGAGTTACAATGTACATCAACTTTTTTCAATGCACTTATAGTGAATATTGATCACTTCAAGGAAGTGTATAAACCTTACAACTATTGTCCTTTCTGCTTCAATTGCCATATCATTTAATCTAAATATATCAAAACCTTATTATATATGTGATTATTTTGCTTTCAACAACCTTATGAAAACACAGGTATTACACAACTTTGCATGTCATCCTTTTATCAGGCTTATGCTAATCTTCTCCTTGTGGTTCCAATTTAGTATAGGTGCTGCCAAAGAAAGCAGTGAATATGCTTTTGAACTGCTATCCCAGTAAAAATTTATCCAAATCTTGTACCATTTTTGTGAAAGTGTGGGCTGAAATTAGTAGTACAGTGTTTTTCTCTGAACGAAGCTAGGATTGATTCTACTTATGCCTTGATATTAGAAAGTAGAAAAATAAGTCCTTTTATCTTAATCTAAAGCATCACATGAAATTAAAAACTAGAAATGTCCATAGAAATAGTTGATAACCAAAGCGAACTCTTACTTTTTTTTTGTCAACATGAAGGTTTATAACATCAAAGCTACAGGTTTATAATATCTAAAGGGATGTCCAAGTGGGAGAGATTTTCTAGAAACTATAATTACAGGTGAACTGTCCCATATCATGATAAACAGTAGGTTTTGGAGAAGAGAAAATGAAAATTAACCCTGCCAGGTTTGGGATTAAGGAGAGGAAGGTTATACCACACATTGTTTAGATCATTGCCAAGAAAATAATCATTAAAAATAAAACCTCAGGGGCATTTCATGCATGAATTTTATTTACTTTGGCCACATTGTTATTAAGATGTTGTGCACACTCCAGTGCATGGAAGTGGTGAGCTGATGCATCACACAGTGATGGCACCTGTCTCCGGCTGTAACCTTGGTCCTTCCCCAGAGTATGCAGTCATTGGCTCAGGAAGTACAGCTGTGAAGGTGACTGTTTATCTAAAGGCTTTAGTGATGTAAGCCTGAAACCAAGGGGGAGGAGAGCAATTAAGCCTCACTTTGATTAAGCTGTTGTGTACTAAGTACAAGTAGGGCTTGGTGACTGTTTTCTTGGGTGAGAAGGAGACATTTGCATTTGGAGTCAGTAGGCAAACAGCCTGCTATAAAGAGGGGTCAGGTACCTTGCCACCTTCGTCTGACCCTGCAGGAAGGTTACACGCCTGTGCCTTTTGCTCCGTAAAGCCTTTCCCTCATTCCACATCAACCTTGGGAAATAGTTGTCTACCAGCTAGTACTTACATTGCCAATTCATGTGTCTGCTTTAGTTGTCCTTTCTTGTGACTGTCATCCTGAAACAAACTGTGAGACCAGGATCACATCTTTGTGTCACCAAAGTGACTCGGACAAGTCTGCATTACATTTGAGAAGCAGTCAGTAAAGTAATCCAGAGCACAGGCTCAGTCTCTCTAGGTTCAAATCCTGACATCACCATCCTAGCAGGAGGACGGGAGAGTTGAAATACTCCAGTCTTCTGCTTCCTCATTCGTAACACTGGGCTCATGTCACTATTTGTAAGAGCCAAACAAGTTAGCAATTTTACCTGGCACCTAATTGTACTACCACTTTTTTTTATTAAGTAATTCATTTTTTCTTAGAAAACTGTGGAAAAATAAATATTGATAAGTAAGGAAAGGTAATGCACCGACAGGATTAACTAAGGAAAAGGCAAGGAAAATGAGAAGTTGACAAAATTTGGGGTGCAAAAGACTTAGTAAGTATTTTTAACTATTTATTTTAATTTTATTTATTTATACATAAAGAATGGGAGTGTATTTTGGTGCAACCACTACAGAAAACTAGCCACAGTGTTTATTAAGGACACTCTCTTACTCTATGATTCCACGTCTATGCACAAGAGAAAAATGTCCATGTTTCCAACCAAAAGGTGTTTAACAGAGGTATCCACGGTAGGTCCATCAAGAGAACAGATAGAGACGTTGTGTCAATGCACCACAGAACACACAGACCTCACAAACACAGCGATGAGCAAACGAAACAGACATCAGGTTCCAGGCACAACTACCCTATGGTTTTATTAATCAGAACTGGTTACCCTGGTGGAGGAGACGGAAGCAGAGAGGAGTGAGCAGGCAGAACTTGTGAGGGCTAGTGCCAATTGCAGGTGTGGGCTCAGACTATATTAATTCACTGAACACCTCTGGAGCATGCATTGTGCATGTGTATAAAACTCCTTTAAAGAAAGAGAGCAGAAATGAAATCATATTGGAAATTAAAGAAGGAAGAAGAAAATGAAAGAAGGCGGGCGGGGTGGGGTGGGGTGGGGGAAGGGGGCCAGAGGCTGAAAAGCAGGATCCTTGGCTCCTGCTGCACCTGCCAGGTTGGTCCACCCCTTTGCCTTATAGGCAACCCCTGTCTTGCCCTGCTGTTCCTCCTCTGTGCCCCACTATTCGCTTAGCTGGAGGATGGCAAAAACCCTGTGTTCCGCGATGTCTTCCTTCTGCCCTGCTGTCCTTGCCCTTCTCGCCTATGAGCATCCCTAAGGCTGGGACACTTTTCCAAGTGGGAACAGCAATGGAGTAACTTGGAAGAGCTAACATTTCATCAAAGAAACATCAGTATTGGAAGTCACCTTTTCCTCTCCCCTCCCCTCCTTTCCCCTCCTCTCCTCTCCCTCCTCTTCCTCTCTCTCTGTCTCCCCTATCTCACCCAGCATGCCTTCTTGGCCTTGGTGGTGGTGCCTGAGCCAGCCCTGACCACGCCTCCCACCCTGCCAGGCCGTGGGGCGTGGGCCAGGTCCTGACCGAGGCCGGAGCTCGCGGGGTGTCCCCACGCAGTCCCCGCCCGGCCTGACCCCGCCCCGCGGCCGCAGGCTATTTTGGGCGCGTTGGCGGCAGCGGGATCGCTGACAGCCTCGGATACTGTGACACCTCTCGGCGGCCCGGCACTTGTTGCTTCCAGGACCTGTTGTCATCCCTTAACCTCCTTCCTTCCCCCGTGCCCCCGGCCCCTCCTGACTCCTCTGCTGCTCCCGTAATCACTTGGGACACCGTTGCCCCAGTTCGAGAAATACACGATTTAAAAGAAAAGAAAAGAAAAACCTGCCCTGCGGAGCCCCGCCGTGCAGGAGCCGGAGCTCAGAGGGCTGGCCCCTGCGCTGCAGAGGTGGCGCCTCCGCGGCCCGGGACGGTGGCCCCGGGCGCCAACAGCACGATGGACTCGGCGACAGCTAACGGGGACGACAGGGACCCCGAGATCGAGCTCTTCGTGAAGGTAGGTCGGCGTCCGGGTGCCGCCGCACCTGCAGTGCCTGGGGCCGGACTCACGTGCCCCGGCGCCGATCGCTGTGGGACTCGGGCTGGGGGCCTTTCTGGGGGCCAGGACCTCGTTCCGGGAGCTCCAGGGCAGCATGGAGCGAGGGACAATCTGACAGGTGGAGGGCTGCTGGGAAAGGTGGCCCGCGGATTTGTCAAATCTGCAGCAGGAACGTCGGTCGCCGCTGGGGTCGGGAGCGCTGCCGCTGTGCACCTGGGGCTGGTCCAGGAGGACGTCTTGGGGTGTAGGGAGACAGCAGGAGCCCGGAAGGACGAGTGAACCTTTCTTCCAAAATGCCAGGAGTTAAGAGGGAAGGAAATCTTGGGGCGGTTATCTCCGGCAAAGAAAAAGACACACATTTCTTAAAATCCTCTTTCTTTCTTTTGCTCAAGAGTTACCGAAACGCACACAGGTGTTTTCTTACTTTGTGGCTTGCAAAGCAGAAAACAAACCCTCCACCCCCCGACGTTATTAGCCGGTCGTAATGACCGTGATGCAGGTAGTGTTGCGGATGCGAAGTAATTGGAACGAGAGAGCGAGGTACCTCCCAGGTCACCTGACACAGCCTGGAGCTGAAGGAAAAGTGTGCACGTTAAGTGGCCTTGCTCCCCCGGGCAGGCACAAGCTGACATGAAAGCGGCTACACTGCGTTCGCTGCGGGTAGGGGGAAGCTCGGCGGGCGAGCCAGGCGGCGCTCCCCGCGCGCCGGTGTAATGAGAAGGAAACATTAGATCAGTGCTCGGTGCCCACACGGCAGAGGCAGGGAAACCTGAGGCCAGCGGGGACTCGCCTCTAGGGCAGCCGAGAAAGAGCAGGGAGACCTGGGGAGGGGCGGCGGCAGGCTGCGGGAGTGCCCGCGCCTTTCACAAAGGGGCGAGGGCGAGGGGGATACTTCAATGCAAAGTTTCCCTCGAAATATGCAGAAGGCAGAGAAGGGAAGAATCCTTGGTATCTGTCAGGGATCTCAGGGCTGAATTTAAAAGTCCGTAGACTGGGCAACAGGTTATTTTGTCCAAATGATCCCTATCTACATGCTAATTAAAAAAGACTTTTTTTTTTTTCCTTCAAAACCTATTAATGTCTCCAAAAGCATGGATAACTGTCTTCTGGTCTTCTGTGTCTCCTAAAAATAACTGTAAAGTCCATCGCGACTGATTCTCTGCTTGGAAAGGGTCCTGTGTCCTCTCTCCCGGCCGACCCCAGAGGTTTGATAGAATCCCTCTGCTGAGTTTACCATCTTATTTGTATTTCAACATGACACCTGTCATTCAGTGACGCTTGCTCTTTTCAGCCCATGGGCTCTCTCACAGTAGCTGCTGTACCCCCGTTAGGTTTCTGGGACCCCTCTGGGCAGGACATCCACGTTCCCTGGCAGGACATAGACAAGGCCATATCCTCCCGGAGGCTGAGCAGAGTGGGGTGGTGGGGGCTGTGCCCAGTGCTCTGAACCCCCGTGTCTGGGCTTGCAGGTTGGAGAGTGAATAGGAAGAGCTTTAACAAAGCGATGAGTCTTGCTGCTGTCCTTGAAGAAAGCTGTTCTAGGACTTACTCAGATTCCCCAGGACTGCTTGCAAGGTGTCAGGTTCCTGGGAGCTGTTTGAAACATAAAGTGGTTTTTCAGAACCGCAGGAGCCCTGGGCCCTATGCCTAGGTATGGAGACCACTTCTACCTGCACCTTCAGGCTGGTGGCTTCGGAGATTTTCTCCAGTTATATGTAAAGCTCAGGGCACAGCTTCCAGTGCCCCTTTGCAAAGAATTCTAAAACGCTCGTGTTGTCTGTTCTCTCTCCTCTCTCCCTCTCTGTCTCTGCCTCTCTCTCTCAAGGAAAGAATTCATGACAGCCAGGCAGCAAGCCTCCATGCCTAGCTCAGAAACCAAATTGATGTGGGGAACAGAAAAAATCAGATAAGAAAGCTATTTAGATGCTCCCCCTACCCCAGCTGCACTTCTTGAGCTGCTTGTTAGTTGGCATTTACAGGGACAAGCAAAGACTTGAACATACTGTGATAGAAAGGTGCCACCAGGCCTTGAACTCTGTCATTTTAAGGAAGCAAATGTCCTGATTTACAGAATCAGATTTCTAAAGTTGGAGGTTCTCAAAGCTATAGGATTCCCATAAGAAGAAAAGCCTTCTGTTGATGGTGTCAGGTGACTGAGGTGCTTTTGCAAGGCTGGGCGGGTCGGTTTCTATGAAGCTTTCCAGGCAGAGCAGACTCCACCCAGAGTTAGGATGTTGGCCATTTTCAACACCCCCTCGAAAGGCCCTCCCAACCTTACCTGTCCACCGGGTCTGGCATTCCACACGGAGGTCAGCCAGTGAATTTCAAGGCCACGGGACTCTTTGCACCTGTGGATAAATAGACATTGTCTCTAACCACAGCTGCTGCCATTGCTGCTAACCATCATCATCTCCGTCATGAATGGCAGCATTATAGGACTTAAGAAGCACCTTCAAATGCCTTCTCCCACTCAGTCCTCAGCACCCTTGCTTATGAGGGTTGGTTCAATCGTGAAAAATAGAAATACACCTGATTCACAGTGACCTCGTGCAAGTCTAGGCTGGCGGCGCACCTGGTGAGTGGCAGTTTGCTCTCCTTGGAATAGTCCAGGGAAATACGGATGCTGGTGAAGCCCAATTTGTGGCTGGCTAACACCTGTGTTCAGAGAGGGCCTGAGAACTGTCCAGAGTGAGATAGCAGCCTTCAGACCCAGTCCTCAAATCCAGCAGGGTAGGATCTGAATCTCTTGCTCTTTTCCAAGCTCCCATTTGTCAGACATTTGTGTCTAATTTTACTCGTGAGACCCTCCTGTGCCATCCATGATGATGCTGATTTACAACGTACAGGTCCATGCTAATGTGCTCATCCCTGCTAAGCCCTCCAAGTCTTCCCCTTCTAGGGAACATTTAAGAGTTTGTTTCCCCAGGTGTTTAGTTTCTTTATCCATTGTCAAACAGGTCAGCCCTACCCTGATTCTGTAGGTCGGGCAGAGGTTTGGAGACACAGGATTGAATTCAAGTCTTGCTGCTGCCTCTAATTAGCTGAAGGACAAAAAAATTTCACTTCTATGAGCCTCAATCGCTCCTCTTAATGCAAGAGACTACTTAATGCAAGGGTCAAAGCCAAGACACTTCTGAGAGAAAAAGAGGATGCTACCAGCAATTCGTCTGGGATAACAGGTGGAACCCAGGGGTCTTCAACAAGTTCATAGAAAACATGTACTATGAAAAAACTATGCATGGATTTAAAAAAAATGTTGCACCAAAATAAACTAACCTTTCAGTTTCATTTTGCATGTGCTTTTCAAAATGCTCTCTTATATGGGGCAAATGGGAAGACGTGATCACTGTGGTTGTGAAAACATGATCACCAATAGACTTGCGAGGAGTCAACTGCAAGCTACAGGTAAAAGCACTTTGTAAAGTGAAAATGGCTATAAACACATTGACTTTGGCCATGATATGAGTTCCCCCGGAAGAGAGAACCTTGCTGAATCCGCAGGTCCCTGATTCACGTTAGGGAACAAAAGCCTGGCACCTTCCTCTCTGGCAGGGCTATTTTGAGAAGACATGAGATCATATGTAGCTTGGACTCTGATCAGACATGGAGGACAAAAGTTTATAGGATTGCCAAAGGCAGTGCGGGTGGTTTATTGAAGGGAGGAAAGAACAAGGAAGTCAAAGCAAAACAGAAATCAGTGTGGACAGACAAGCCCAGGAAGTGCTGAGTGTGTTAGATCAAGACATTCATCCCATCTGGATTGCCTCCTCCAGCCCCAGTCCTGCCTTGAGATTTCAGTATCTGTGGCCGACACACATGCTTCAAATGTTTCTTGGGGACAGGCACTTGGGTTTCTTTCTTTTTTTATAGAAAGCTTTTATTCAATAAATATAAATTTCATAAGTACAACTTTTGGATTATAGCAGTTCTTCCCCCCCACCCATACTCCCACCCCCAAACCATCCCACCTTCTATTCCCTCTCCAACCCCATCCTTCATTAAGATTTATTTTTAATTATCTTTATATACAGACGATCAACTCTATGCTAAGTAAAGATTTCAACAGTTTGCACCCACACAGACACACAAAGTATAAAATACTGTTTGAAGACTAGTTTTACTATTAATTCTCATAGTACAACACATTAAGGACAGAGGTCTTACATGGGGAGCAAGTGCACAGTGACTCTTGTTGTTGATTTAACAATTGACATTCTTATTTATGACGTCAGTAATCACCCGAGGCTCTTGTCATGAGCTGCCAAGGCTATGGAAGCCTCTTGAGTCCACAAAGTGGAAGTTCTCCCCTCCCTTCAGAGAAAGGTACCTCCTTCTTTGATGGCTACTTCTTTCCACCAGGATCTCACTCATGGAGATCCTTCATGTAGGTCATTTTTTGCCACAGTGTCTTGGCTTTCCATACCAGAAATGCTCTCATGGGCTTTTTAGCCAGATCCGAAGGGCACTTGGGTTTCAACAGAAACAAGTGGTTCTCTAACTTGGCTCCATACATGAATCCTTTAGGGGGATTTTAAAGCTTGCAGCACCAGGCTGCTTCTGAGGCCAATGACATCAGTCTCTAGTCTCTGTGGGTAGGACCCATAATCAGTATTTTCATCCCTATCCCCCATGACTCCAGCTTGTATACTGGTAGAGAACCTCTGAGTCATGACAAGAGGTGTGCCCAATAGTGGGCAGCATCTGACACCGTGGAAATAGGTGGGCTTGCTAGTGTGGGTTGATGTCTAGAATTTCCAGGGGCATCGTAGTCAGGAGTGTTATTGACAGAGAGTTTGTATCCAGACAGTGCTTGGTTAACAAATGCTGACAGACTATTAAGCCCTCTCCACAGAACTCCAGAACAATCAGTGCATGGGATTGATCTAGTCAAACAATCATCAATTCAGTGTAGGAGAAATAAAACAGAATCCTGCTGACTGTCTGATGGAAATGGCTCG